TAATTTTGAAATTTGCAGAAAAAACAATATTGTACAGTGGTTAAGATGTGAATTTTTAAGCTTTTTTAGGAAGGTTTTCATTAGCACAAAGATACTGAGACTGAATCTGCTGCTTTTTAGACCACTAAGTCTTATGTAATAATTCCAGATAAGAACCAGTTATCCTAAGCATGATTATTCCAGAGTGAAAATTAGAATGTGTTGGACCATTTGGATGTATTATTGAATATTATAGTGAATGTATGAAAAGAAGGGGGAAGTAAAGAGGAAAATCTTTTTCATTTATAAAAGTGTTTTTGCAAGGAATTTCTCTATAGGAATGTGGGGGACAAAGAATCAGCAGGAGTCTTTTCTTTTTAGGTTTGGTTGATTAGTGATTAATGTATCCATTTGATTGCATTGGATAATACTAGCTTAATTTAAGGTAAAGTATAATTATTTTAATCTGTGGATTTCAAGGCAGAGCTCAGTCTGTGTGTTTTTCAGAGAGTTTTGGACATGCACACAAAAAAATATTCTCTCTCTCTCTCTCTCTCTCTCTCTCTCTCTCTCTCTCTCTCTCTCTCTCTCTCTCTCTCTCTCTCTCTCTCTCTCTCTCTCTCTCTCTCTCCCTCCTCCTCCCTTCCTCCCCCCTCCCCTTCTCCCTCCCTCCCTCCCTCCCTCCCTCCCTCCCTCCCTCCCTTCCTCCCCCTCCCCTTCTCCCTCCCTCCCTCCCTCTCCCCTCTTCCATCCTTCCTTCCTTCTTTCCTTTGTGTGTGATTGCACATCACAGCATGAGATCACAGCACATTCCACGGGTTAGAAAGTAGTTCCTCTCATCCTTAAGGTCTGGTAGTGTGTATAATTCAAAGGGAAAATGTTGAGTCAGATAAGGGTTTGTCCTTTTTGATAGATTTTTGGCGGGCACTTTAACTCCATGTATTAAATCTAATTAAAAAGGAATTGGCATACAAGTTGCGAACTATGAAACTGAAGGAAGTTGTTAAAACTCATAACCTACTTGCCAGCCTGGCCAGTTGCTACTGCTAGCCAATATTCAGTTGTTATTTTTTTATTTGATTAAGATGATCAAGAAACATGGCACACATTTAACCCATTCGCGCCGGGTGTCACGTATACATGACGGGCCCACTGCGAGTTTACTTGTTTAATTGTTTTTACACATATATGGCTACACTTGTACATATACAGCCTGTGTCGTCTGTTTACCCTTTTCTTTAAGTTATGAAAATATTTTACGTTATCTTATTTAGATGTTACTAATGTTCATAACATTATAGTAATTATAATGTTTATAATAAAAATAACCATCAATATTCATAGCACTAGTAAAAAATACATTTTCCCGCCCAATGAAATCAGGTAAGGCAGAGCCATCTAGTGTACAGAAATTTCACAAAAATTATAACAAATGAACACAGCATTTTTCCCCATTTTTTGTTCATTTTTACCCGGCGTGAATGGGTTAATAGAACTTTATTTGTAACACCATTATCAGTTTAAGCTGCAGAATTAAATATCATTGCAGTAAAAAGTTAACGAGTTTACATAGTGGTGAAGCATCTTGGGTTTTATATGTGTGCTGGCAGCAGTCCACTAGATATATAAGATAGGGATACAAGTGTATGATGTGGATTTGAGGCAATCCTCCCTACTCGCTTAGTGTTACTGTTTTAGCAATAGAGAAGTTGTCATACATCCTGCAATGTCAGACTATCACCTGCATTTTAAAAAGCAAGAAATGTTAAGAACAATAATATTTATTGACCAGTTATTTTTCCCATATTGATGTTATCTGTATATTTTTGTATTTTATTCTCCAGGTATGTTGTGCTTATTGCCCATAGGTGGAAATTATTGTTAGACATCACTGTTTTTTAAGCTTCAAATGCAGGATATTGAATTTAATTAATAGTATCTCATCACTAAAACCACTTGACTTGGTAATGATCTTCATTTTTACACAATGTTGTTGAATCATGTTTTCAGATGTAATGATGCTATATCCTTTTTTAGTATTAGATGACAATTAATTTGATATTGTATTGAGTGATGTCTTTCCTTCAATTTCTTCACTATTAATGACTTTCTTATTTAGTTTTAGGTAAAAGGGTTCAAACATATTTAGAAATTTGTACTGTAAGGGGAAGTATCTTTTATTTAATTTCTGTAGGCTGATGGAGATTAATTAAGAATTTGTGTATATATATATATATATAAATTTTTAAAACACCAGTGTTTGCCTTCAGTTTTTATTTAGCTCATTAATTATATGAGGAAAGTTAAAGGTGTAGTTTTTACAGCTGGATCAGGGATATTTGTTTTTGAAATCACTTTGGTAATAATATTCTTCTATCATGAATTTGTTATTGTATAGTTTGTACCCTTAGAATAGAAAGGATGGTCCTTGAAATGTTAATTGTTAAAGATCATGTGTTTGTTTGTTGTTCAAAGTTCTTCTCAACATATATATTATTATACAGCATTCTCAGATATTATATTTTTATCTCTGAACAATAAAGGAGAGAATCCATCTTGTGTCACTTTATTGCAGTTTCCTTTTTGGTATGTGATGATAGAGAGCAGTGGCAGATCAATGATGTTTCCAAAGAGGGGGCAGAATGCATGACGAGGAGGTACCAACCATCAAACAAAATAGTCCTTAAGCTTGATTTGGTGGGAGTAGTAGTTCCTCCAGAAGGGAATTTTAACATTAAAGAAGCATTTCCCAAACATTCTGTGAAGCAAAATGGCACTTATGTGTTGTTAAAAATACCCAAGCTAATATGTACTCCCCGACTAGAGTTGCATGATTAATCATACACATGAATTCAGATTAATAGTGACAATAAGTTATGTGCATATAATTTTAGCTGACATTTCGTTACTAATTTTTGGCACAATAACCATACTGTAGCCAAAATTATTCTGTTGTGGAAGGCAAAGTATATTGTGGGGCAGCTGCTTCCTCCTACCATTGACAGAGAATGGGAGGGGGGTTAGTGAATACTTGGTGGAGGCGCATGTACATATGTAATTAATCCCCCCCCCACCCAATCCCTTGCTTCTTGTTGCCGTGGGGGTGCTTAGGAGACGGAGACTGAGGCTTAATGTAGGGCATTATCTCTGCCTTGGACCTCAGCCTTCACCGCAATAAATTTTGCATGGTCTTTTCTTCTCCCCCCTTTCCTTTTCCTTCTCTTCATCCCCTTTTTCTGTCCACTTATCCTCATTATTAACTCATTTTCACCCTTTTTGCCACAAAATACAGTAAAATTACTCTATTTTGAATATGTTGCTAATGACTTCAGATGTTGGTGCAGCAGAAAATGTTCAATATATAAATAAATATGTAATTGATGCTAAGGTGTAAAATACATGGAAGCAAAAAAAAAAAGAAAAGTTTAAAATCAAAAGAACAGTTTTCTTGCAGTAGATAGAAGATGGTCAGTTAAAGACATTAAAATCATTGAAGCTAGATAAGGCAATGACAATACAAAGTGGATGTATTTAATAAGCTTGTAATACATTTTCTGTTTAACTACATGATACTTAGTTCTGAAACATGTCAAATTAGGAGTTATGCTATCATTTATAATATCAGTATTATTAACACTGACTGGAAGTACACAAGTAATAAACCTGGCAATGTGGACACATGACATTTATATTTACTAAAGCCAAACTATCTAGAAACATAAATACATAACTTTATATATGAATAATGGATTACATAGTCCACCATTCTATTACACCATTTTATATGTGCATTTCATCTAGGCAGTGGGTAACGGTGAGTAAAAGTTTCCTTTGAAATATAATACATTCTTAGCAAAAATAATAGTAATTTTATTCATTACACTTCTTGTTAAATCATGTTATCTATAGCATTTTAAAGTACATGCATTGCTATTGTACATCATGGATAATATTTTAGTGGTAAAGCCTAGTTGCAGTGCAGTAGCTTTTCCTTTCCAAAAGTTCAATAGGCATTTATAACACTAGTAATGTCGATTTCTTGGTTTAGTATTAATATGCAGTTCATGATCTTTTTCATGATACTAGTATCTAAAATCTAAAATTGTAATGCATATATATCTATATATCAGGTTGAGTATTACTGCATAATTACCACTAAGGTAAAAGTGTAATCAACTACCACAATATTAAAAAGAAATATAGCTCAGTTGTACATGTATTTAACTGGACTGATTATATATTTTCTGACTAAAGATGATTGAAGAAGGAAAGTGTGTATGATCATCCTTTTTTCTAACAGACATTTGAATTATTATACCACATTCACAAGGTTTCTCTCATATTAGTTGTGTCATTGTCAAATTCTTATTATTACATATGCTCATCCCTCACTTTCCCTTTTCAGAAAACTGTTTGACTTTAAATCTCATTCTTTTGTCCTACAATGGACTTCTGATCATTGTCTTTTTCATCTTTACTCTATTCTTTACATCCTGGAGCCTTATGCTTTTTCTTACTCATATGCAAAGCAGGAGCTTCCCTGACTCATATCCCTCCCTTTCACTTTACCTTCTCTATTTTTTATCCCTCACTCCCAAGTATTGCATAGGCTCTGCAATCTGACCTACCATCATCCTCTTGCCACATTTCCTCAGTCTTCAAGATTCTACACAACATCCTTTTCCATTCTTGCACCCCTTGCACATCCACCTACATTAGATTCCTTTGTCCAGTCCCTTCATCCCTTTCACCAAAACTGGAATTCCTCACACCATGCGATTTCCCTTTACATTTCCCTCGCAGCATGTCCCTCGCCCTTAAAACAAGGCACTAGAATCCTTCAAAACCCTAAGCCTTATTTAACGTCCTCACACCACCTTCGTTCATTCCACTGTCCGTCACACACGATAAGTACACTCCTCACCACCCTTTCATTCTTCGTCCTGTCCCTCAGGCCTCACTCATTCCTCACACACCCTTTGATTCACCCTTTGTCCCTCAGGCCCTCCAGCTCATCGCCTCACTCTCTCCTCACATACTCCTCCTTCCGCCCCTCGTCCTGTCCTTCAGTCCCCTCACTCACTCTTCACACTCTTCCTCTCACCCCTCGTCCCTCAGGCCCCCGCCTCATAACCTCATTAACCCGCCACCCCCACCCCCACCCCGTCGCGTAACCTTCCCCTCCTCTGCCTCCTTCACACTAGACTCTCCGCCGTGTTCTTAAGGCTGGCTCGTGTATGCGGGGCGGTTTCCGGATGTGGCGGCTGGGCATCCCTACGTCCTCTCTTTCTGGCGTCGGATGCTGCTCGTTGCATAATTGCAGCCGCCAATGCAACGTGTGAGATCTGCAAAAGTATATGCATCACAGTAGACTGATTTTGCGTGTTTGTAATTGATAACAAAACTGCCTAACGTGCACTGGGCGATACTGTGGAAATTTCTCTCTCTCCCTCTTTACCTACCTACCTACTTACTTACTTACCTGTCTGTCTGTCTGTATCTATCAGTTTGTTCGTCTATTCATCTCGCTCACTTTCTAATTAGAATGGAGTGTACATCAATAAAAGCAATAACCCTCAGGTAAAAGGCCGAATCAAGCATGAAAGAGCAAAAAAACTTACGTGTGAAAAAGACTGCGTGGCTCTGAGGGTCGGCCGGCTGACGGGCTCCCTCTGCCTCTCCTGCCGAGTCGTCTGCGCCCTATCGACGGAGCGCAAGCTGGCCGAACATGTGCGGTTGAGGGAGGCCGGTTGTCGCCTCATCGTTCCCGGAGAGCAGGAGGGGGACACTTCTACTGCTGCCATCTCCTGCTGGGAGGCAGCGCTCACTGCGGCACCGCTGCTGTTGCTGCCGGCGGTAGCGTGGGCGGCCGGGGGTAGGTTAACGTCATATGGGAGGCTGGTGTCCCTGGCGGTGTCCCTGGCGTGGCTCGAGATGAGGCTGTGGATCGTTGGGCACTCCGCTGAGTACTCGAGTAGCTGTTGGGGGCAAGGAAAGCGAGTCAGAGACCGCTGGAATGAATGCAAAAGTTCTCCTAGTAATCACTAAGAAACCACCCACACCCACATTATACAAAGACAGTCATGTCAGACGCCCTCCTACCCGAAGCCGAGCGGCGAGCGCGTTCTGACGATCCTCCTGCCGCCCGGTGTCCGTGCCCTCCGTGAATGAGCGGCACTTCGAGAGCTTGGCCGTTCCGCGCGTTCCCGTCGGGCCGCCTAACGCACCGCTGCGGAGGAGTAGCTGCTGCACCAGATCTGGCAGCTCCATCGAGTTCCTCTGCGTCTCCTTCAGCTGGTGCAGAAGGTCCACGACGCGCTGCAGCTCTGCCTTCCGTTTTTCTTGCGGCGTCTGGAAGAGTTCGTCCGGGGCGACGGAAGAGAGCGGCGGAAGCGTAGTCGAAGCCTCGCCCGCTGGCTCCATGCCGGCCTTCGGACGTCGCTGCGGAAGGCGGGGAGCGGTCCAGTGAAGCCAAAACAGTATGTTTACAATCGTAGGCGAAGGACTGCCCAAAAAATCTATAGCCGTTTTTAGTACGATTATCATGTGTACACACGGTAGTCATGACAGTAATAAACATATATTTATGATAATATTTAGCGTTTATTTTCTTATCATGACATTCCATATAACCTTCAATTCATTACGTATACAAAGGTCTGACATGTTGCAGACATTTTTCCATCAGATTTGTGACCCTCGAGCAAGGTGTGACGTCACTCACCCTGGCGACCTGTGGATCCGGAACTTCGTCGTCGAATTTGCCTCGCACGACTCCGCCGCGCAGGTCGCCGTTCCTGACCCCTTCTGCGCCGCCGTGCCCCGCCTTCGTCTTGCGCCCTGACCCTTGACTTCTGTGCAGAGAGGCGCTGACGAGAACTGACGCTGGAAGTGGGCTCGCCATCGTCGCTGCTTCCGAACTGAGGTCACGGAGAGAGATGGAAGGCGTGTTAGATTTATTTTTCTTTGCGGCGAGGAAGGTCAGCTCACTATATTTACAAATGTCCCAGGTCATGTTTTCAATGACCAAAGGCCCATGACCTGCTGTATTTAGCCTCTTGCCCTCAGAGTCCAAGACATGGAGGTTTGTCCTGGACATATTGTCCGGGAATATAAATTCAACTTGAATGAAAGCTTGGCAACGTATGGAGCAAAACTGAAGTGATTGAAAGCAGTGTGTAAGAATTTGAATATGTGAATCAAAACAACGTGCGAATTAAAGCTATGCGAATTAAAACATGTTGGAGATTAAACTCAATATCGAGATATACGTTCATAATAACATTTTTTTTCGTGAATTTAATTCATATCGAAGAATACTACATAAATGCACATAAGAATAAATATATGAAGTTGATGACGTTTTGTCATAAAACGATATATTTTAAAAAATGAATCAGAAGTCTTGAAAGCGTAACCTACGGTTTTGAATTACAGATTCTTATTGGACATATATCATCTTCCCTTCCTACTCCTCTTAGCAACAAAAACAACCTTATCCCAAGGCAAAAAATTCCCTTTCATTATCATCCTTTCCGCCTAAAACACTAATAACGTACTCGAGGAAGGTTAACACACCTGTTTGACGCAGACGACTTGTTACGGCTGTTGTCCGCGCGTTCTGCACTTCCCGCGGGAGTCGTGCTTGTGACAGCGGATGAAGTCACCTTGGTCCATGGGCGTCCCGTCACCGCCTCCCACACCGCCTCCGCCACCTGTGCCACCGAGAAGTTTGATATTCCTCATATTCTCTTTCCTACTTGTGATTTAGGTTCCAGTGTCTAGTTTCTTTGTTTTCTCTAAGTGTCATGGTTAGACATATAGCTACATATAGCGCATACAAACGATATTGACACATATAACATTCCACCTATAAAGTGACAGGAAAATTAAGTCAAAGATGACTGAAATCCAGACAGACGGTATCTTTGCCTTTCGCTTCACGTCGAAAAAAATGAAGATGAAGGCTCCCTGCAGTCCGTTGAGAACCGTGAAGGGATACCAGCACGCGGGGATATCCGCGAACGCCGCTATGAATCCGGTGAGCCACGTGAGGCCCTGGATGACACCAAGCTTCACATAGAGCAGAAGTCTCACTCGCTCCTTCTTGGCGCGGCGAGTCTGCGGGGGAAGAGGGCCCGGCTCCCTGCAGTCCGTTGAGAACCGTGAAGGGATACCAGCACGCGGGGATATCCGCGAACGCCGCTATGAATCCGGTGAGCCACGTGAGGCCCTGGATGACACCAAGCTTCACATAGAGCAGAAGTCTCACTCGCTCCTTCTTGGCGCGGCGAGTCTGCGGGGGAAGAGGGCCGAGCGTCAAGTTTATTCATTAAGTATCCATGGATGAGCTTAGGGGAATGATGATATACATAACTGCGTGTTGATGTGTCTGTGTCATGGCATATCATAGAGAAGTTGCACCTGTGCCACCTGGCTCGAAAAGCCGATTTCCGTTTCCTTTTGAGTTCCTTCTTTTGTGCTCTGTGACCTCACGTTGGCGTAGCGCGCTGCCTTCATTTGCTTGCAGATGCCATAAGCCGAGATGAGGAAGAGCACGAGGTTCTCCAGGACGATGGCGCCCACCGGCAGGAGGAAGAAGAGCGCCAGGCCGTGGCGGTTGTTGATCCAGCAGAGCCGCGTCGCGTACTCCGGCCGGTAGTCCGGCAGCAGGTCGACCCAGTCCAGCAGGAGCGCCAGCGACACCACGAGCGCGGGGACCGTCCAGGCGTAAAGCGAGTAGAGGAGGTAGGTCCTGCCACCGTCGGAGTCGCCGCGGTAGAGCTGGCTGCTGAAGGTGCGACACACGTCCACGCTCATCACGTTCATCCAGCAGAAGGAGGCGAGCCAGAAGTAGTGGAGGCTGCAAGACAGGAACACGCACAGGCCGTACTCGTCCGTCTCTCTCGTCCCCGTCAGGAACAGGACGTGGGCGACGAAGAGGCAGCACGAGAGGGAGAACAGGTTCTTCCCCGGCAGGTTCCTGTGTCGCGGGACGAGCATGTAGATGGCCATGTGCAGCGCCAGAGCCACGAGGGACACGCTCAGCACGACCAGCGTCAGGTACTGGTGGACGGAGCTGAAGGCGTCGGCATAGTGGCTCTTGTCATGACAGATGAGGACCTGCGTGTCATTTGTGACCTCGAACTCCCCCTTGGCGTAGACCTTCTTGGAGGCGTTGACGAAGATGGAGCCGTCGCCTCGGGGCACATACTCCGTCAGGTTGAGGAGCCTCTTGGGGCACGAACTGTCCAGGAGGCTCGAGTTCGAGAGCGGCTCGTAGACCGTGAAGTCCCTCTCGCACCGCCCGGCCACCAGCCTGAACAGGTGGCCGCAGTGGATCTTGTGGCAGATCTCGAGGAACGGATCCCACAGCTCCGTGGCCTCATCGCAACGGCCGCCCCTGAAGTCCATGAGGACACTGAAGCAGGGTGGGATGGCGTTACTATAGCCTTTTACGAGGAAATCCCTTTGTTGACGGAGGCACTGAAGGTCGCCTTGAGAGACGTTGGCGAAATTACAATTGGCGCAGTGAGGGTTCTTATACACCACTATGTTTTCTGTGCTTCTGTAGGTCATCATCAGAGAGTAGCTCTGACATTTCTCGAAGTCTATGGGATTGGTCCAGTCAGGATGACAACGGCGTACCTGTTGACAGAGAAAAAAAGGCGAGCTTGAAGAGTGGTTCAGGTTGGCGCCTCACTTTCAGGCAGTACTAAAAGGATCCCTTCCACGTATCACTACACATATCTGGAACCAGATAGTGGGGGATTGTCAGCATTATGGTAAGGCCTAAGCGCACTCAAGGCCTCATGAGTTAGACCGTGGAGGCGCTATATCGGTGAGCCAGACCTCGAGCATTTTTTTTTTTTTTTTTTTTGCTATCAATCATTATATATTAGTGTAGAATCGTTTTAGGATTTTCTTGACTAATATCAGGAAGTTATAACGTTATTATGACGTTTTAAAGCCAGGTTTGGCGCGTTTACGTTAGCTTCAAAACATTTTGTATGATCATATT